TATTTTCAAATTTCTATAAAGCTGAATGCATTAACATTAAGTTACCTTTGAGATTCCTTTCATGTTAAACTGATATTAAGCCTTGAACATTTTCCAAAAGCCAGTGCTGCATTGAATTATGATAATTAGAAAACTGTGTGCACAAAAGGAACTGCAGTTGATGCACTTTTTTTAAAAAAAAGTTCATTGCAGAGAATATAAGTTCAGTATGTTCTCACATAATTAACATTTCCCATCATTAACAGCAGTTTTCAGTTTATGTACCTATAAAAGCAATAGCATTCATCAATGTTTTAGATTTCCAAGCAATAGAATTTTAATTGCTGTCATAATAATGCTTGGCTTTTGGCGTAAAAAAATGCACTAGACACCAGAATTTGAAATCTCAAGTGATGTGTTGGTTTCCAAAGACATTAGGTAGTTCTGTCCTTATGGCTGGAACCAATCAAATTAACACATAAGAAAAACTAGAATTGTAAAACCACTTAGTTCTGTAAAACAGGATGCAGAAACAGCATTCAGAGAGCAAACAGAGAAGGAAAAGGCAAGGAATTTTAAAAGTAGCTATCCAGACTTTATTTGGTCAGCTCCACACACACATACAAAAAAGCAAGCATCGCTTAAGCAAATCTGCCATGTTTTAAGAATAAAGGGAAGATTTTAAACTTTTTGTAAGTGAGAGCTACTTTGCTTTCTTCTTTCAAATTCCACCTGAGCCTTATGGCCCTCATTCTCAACCAAAGCAAAGCTTTTAGCACATGTAACTGCATTTGCTCACAGTTATCACTTGTTATCCTTGCCTCTCTGTTTTTGCTGTCTCTCACTGTCAAAGACTGTAAGTGCCTTGGAGCAAAGCCTTGTTGCTTATGTCCCACAATTCAGAACTATGTACAATGAAGGTACAATAATAATTTTCCATTCAATTTTTAAAGCTTTAAATAGGCACATACACTCACATTCAAAAAGTAAATACAGATTTTCTTTTTAAATATTATCTAGTTTCCTTGACATGCAAATATTTACTACAGAAGTCAGTTTTGGACTCTAGATTATTTTTGTGACCAACCTTTTGGTAAAAAATCTCACACTAAACTTTCCCATTCTACAAAGCAATGTTGGAAGACTTTTTGGTAGGTTTGTCTTAAATTCAGCAAATTAGTGTTAAGATGAGGCATACCTATGGTTCCATCAGTTCAACATCACAAGACTGAATCGTCTTGAATTGTGCAATGAGATCTTTGATACAGATAGGATATATGGTACATTGTTATCCCACCCTACTTCCAAGAAGATCCGACTGCAACACATCACTCTCCTTCCCCTTTTATCCTCAAAACAACCTTGTAAGGTTGGTTAAACTGGGAGTGGGTAACTGGCCATGGTCTCCCACATTCCAGCCGAACATTCTAGCCCATACATTACACTTTCTGTGTAGATATTGCTCTGCACCCATCAGCTGTTGGGTACAGAGCTGGATCAATAACTTGATACTGAAAAATCAAACCTCAGTCAGGACAGAGTCATTATGCTCTTATGGGAAGTATTTTGATTCTTACATTTTCAAATATAGCACAGATTATCATTTCTACAGCCTAGAACTGTATTACGGGCTCCAGAAATGGTTGAAAAGCACATAATATGGTAACCTCTCTAGGTCTGGATCTGACCATGATTGGAATGGGGGACCACCTAGGGATCCCATGTACAAAGCTTTCAGCTCTACGATGAAAGAAAGGCCAGATACAAATAAACATCCAAAAAAAGTATTAGTCTGAACTGAAACAAAATTTATAACCTGCTGTTAACACTTTTCCCTAGATTTACTCCCAAATATCACACTGCATCAAGCTTCACCAGAAGCAATGCAACATCCCATACTTTTTCAGTATCTCATGCTGAAAGTGTCCATTCTGGAAAAGCAACTGGTTGTAATTAAGAGCTAAAAAAATTCAGAAAGAAGACAAGAACTAATAATTTATTTGCAAAATATTGTAATTTTTACTGTACAACACAACAATTAAATCCCAGAAGGCTATACCTGAATAATCATGAAAAGTTATTATTTACTTATGTAGATATAGGACCTTCTAAGAGACAGATCCTATTCTTATTGTTCCCAGCTACAGCAGCGCAAATCCCTTCAGAGGTCCACAGTGATGAAATCTACCAAACCTGTGCTTCTGAACAGAATACTGTTGAAGGGACAGAGTTTTCTTTTCCAGCTGGCATAAACCACATAGTATTATCAGCCTTACTCACAATACAGAGTCATGATATACATTCAGTAAAGTCTGAGTTGGTGAGTGCTATGATGATAAAAATGATGGCTTTTACATCCTAACTCTGTTATTAGTTACAATACTGTAAAATCATGTACATAAAATATCTTAATCTAATCAGTAAAGTTTTGATCACATGCGCAACACACACTCCCATTTTAACATCATTGGCCTGATCTAACTAGACTAATCAATCTTAGACTAATAAAATGGCTTTATGAAACATGAAGTCAAATGCTACTGTTTCAAATATAATATGAAACATGTTATCGTGCTAGAGTAAATAGTGGTTTTTGAGCAATTCACAAAACATGTCCCCATATTTTTGTAAGAGGTACAGATCTTAAGATATCTTTTCCCCAGTGACACAGACAATCCAAACTGTATACAAAATTCTATATTATGGAATTAAGCTCAAACAATTAAAAATGAAATTAATCATTTCCACAAAAAACGATAGTCTTCGTAGGCATCTCAGTATTCACGATTGCAGACTGGCAAGTACATTTTTCCTACTAATCTAAAGGTATTTTTACTTATCGTGTAAGATGTCTTTTACATGCCAACTCTGATATGCAATCTTGTTACTCCCAAGAAGTGCAATTGACGTTATATATTGCACCCTCTTACTCTGCATTATGTAGATAAATAGCAACCTGTAAAGTAGACCTGCTTAAATTTATCATCTGTGGAAAAGCATCTTTCACAACATAGAGCATTTTACACACTCATACGTTTAACTTTTTAAGCGGTGCTTTTGCTTGTACAAAGAAAGTTAATTTTAAAAGATGCTAAATCTCTTCCTATAAATAAAATAACATCTAGGCAAAAGAAAAAGAAATATGACTTTATGCATTAAAGTTATTCCACAGTCACATAAATGCAGACACACACAGAGAGAATACAAAATACAAACTCTTTAAACATCAACAAGCTTCCAACTGAAATTCACTAAAGACTGTTCTCAGTTGTGGTAGGACTGTTCTTTTCCACTGTTTACTACACTTCTTAAACAGACGCTGTTTTTCCCTAAAAAGCATACTTAAAACCAATATTTCACTCCAGTTCTCCTTGGGCTACGTTTTGTGGATGCATTCCAAATTTCAGTACCACATATATCGAACATAGAATGTGAAAGTGCCTAGATTCCAAAGTCACTTATCACTATGCATGCCTAATGATGAGACATCACTGTCCCATTATTATTTCTACCATATTCCACAAAAGAAAAATATGAAAAGCATCACTTTAGTTAGGAAATATGCTCTGATCACTGCAGTACATAATGGTATAAATCAGTATCCAACGAAACACTCAGCATAACTACTCCTCACGTTATAACACACATTATTGACAAAGTACCACAGTAAAGCCATGTATTTATTGAGAAATAATCTATTTAAAAATTGGGAAAGGTTGCGTAGAGGCCAACACTATTCCCTGAGAAAAGGTAACATAATCAAATCAGTTACAAAATCCAGGCAGGCCTGAAGACCTTCCTCTTTGCATTTTTAGCAGGTTGCGAATTCTTAACATTCCATTTGAAAAAACAGGTATGTGCTGTGCATACAGAGACAGCCTCAAGAGCTAAGGCAGTGTAACATTGCCCTCTGAATTATTTGAAATCATTTTAGCATGCTCCATCAATACAGTCTAATGTCCTTGCAGTGGTATTCCCCAACTATTTATAGAGATGGTAATACACTATGTACCCAAGGGCAGGCATTCCAAATTTAGGAATACATTTTTTAAAAAAAAAAAAAACTTGTATGATTAAGAGTGTGTCTCCAGTTACTATTTATGTCCGTATTGCATTGTGCATAATTCTTTCTTTCCCTTGAGCCAAACTCAAACTGCCATAGGATTTACACATGAAGATAAAACATGAACTAAAAGAACATGAACATTCAGCAAAATCTGATGGTAATAAAAAAAACCTGCCATCAATCCTCATACTTAATATCAAATATCTTGAAAACCCTTGTAACGTTATCTTTCTTCAACTTTATCAGCAAAGGGAATAGAAAGATAGGTGCTTCTGAGAAGAGTTTTAGTTGTCCACTTTCTTCTATTAGCCACCTTAAATCAGAATCTACATACATATTTAAAATTTTAAGTCACAGTATGTAATCTGCCAATGTAATCTGATATACTACTCTTTTTTAAAACTTACAAAGCGTTTTTTCTAGAAACAGGTTTCCATCCTTTCACATGCATTATGTACAATAGTAGCCATGTACAATCAGAAAATAGGGAATATATACCTGCTCACTAACTTTTGAGACATTTGTTGGAAGTTGCTTTTCATTTCTCCAAATCAAAAGCAGATACTTGTTTCTAATTGCTTAACAACTTTCCTGAGAAACACAGGTGGCTGGTATTTCATTGTTTCATAAATATTTTTTATACAGTGGCACCAGTCAACATGAAATAAATCTATTAAATCAAGTCCAGGATTGTGCGTGTGTGTTTCCCCCTCAAAGACTAGAAACTCAACTTGGATGGTAGACCTTCCTTCCTCCTCCTGCTTTGTCCTGGATTTTGCTAAAGTATTCTCCCTCCAACACTACCATGTAAGTGAACTTCCTTTCTTTGAAAGTGTGGATTCTGTGAACAAAGACTACTACTCCTCTTTGGGCAAAGCACCATTAAACGGTAGGGAGGGGTACATAGTTCCCTTCTGAAAGGTTAAAGGGAAATAAATAATCCTAGGATTCCTACCGAAAGGAAGTTTTCCAGGGACAATCTCCTCGTTTTGTTGGAACTGCGACTTTGTCTTTTTTGGATACAATGTTTCTGCTGACTCCGGAAAATTTTCCACTTGAATGTACAATTAACCAGCAGTACCAGCAGCAGCAGCAGCTCTGGAGAAAGCAAAGAAGCTGCAAAAGAGAACATTCCTTCTTTCATCTTTAAGTGGGGGAAAATATTTTTTTGGGGGGTGGGGGGGGTGGAAGGCAATCAGAACAGCGAAACAGAACTATTAGACTAGCCAAATCTCAGATCCAACCACTTCCCGAAGCACACCACTAGGAAGAGAAACTTCAGGGATAGGATCATTTTACTTCGCAAGGCCTGATCTGCTCCCAACTTATTCCTTCTTGGCGAAAAATGTGAAAAATGCCAAAGATTTGTGTGCGAGAGAGTGCGTGTGTATGTGTGTGCGCGCGCGCCACTGTGTGTGTGTGTGCGCGCGCGCGCGCGCGCCAGGCTACAAAGGAGTGACTCAGGCAACTAAATGAAAGCAGCAACAGCAATAAGGAGCAGAGAGGGAGAGGAACGGCCGCCTGTTGCAGCTCTGGCTAAATCCCCCAAAGCAACCAAAACTCCGCAAGAAACAACTTCTATCCCTCTCCCAAGGGGGACTTTATTTCTTCCCGCTCACCTCCCCACCCCAGGTCACTTGCAGAGACTGAGAAAGGGTAGGGGGGGGGTGCGAAGGGGCGGAAAGAAGGTAATCGACATGATACTCC